AGACACAGCTTTAAATGCATTTTTCTGCATACCTATTTAAGATAGCAGGTAGCTCATGAATGCTGTGATGCTGAGGCAAATGGAGTGTCCCACAGGAGCATGAGGGAGTCCACAAGTGCTTCCAGGCCTGCTGTCAAGCACACTCTGGTCCACTTCCAGGTCTGCCTGGGAATGTGCAGGGACATCTCCCCGCCTCCCCAGCTCAGCGACTGGTGCCTCCTGGGTCTGGGGGGGCATCTGGGGTCCCCCCATACCCGATCAGTGAGCCGGGGGGGGGTGTGGGGGGGCCTGGCATGCCCAACCTGGAAGTGGACTGGAACTACTTCTGGTCCACTTCCGGGTTCACCGCTGAGCATGCAGGGGGCCCCTGCACGCTCCTGTAGGACACTCCATCTGCCCCAGCATCTCAGCATTCACGAGCCACACCTGGTACCTTGAGGTATGTAGAAAAAACATTTAAAGCTATGTCTATGCCCGAATTTGCTGATTCTCCAAATCAACATCGAATCTTCTGATTTGGATTTGACCAAATCAAATCAAGGACAGTGAATAGAATCAACTAATTGAATCACGTCCCAATTTGGGGCAAATCCGAATTGAATATGGCCTGTTTCGCACACCCCTAATTCTTGTTACTTCAACACCAGTTTGACCCTTCCAACAAACTAAGAAAGTCTGTAGAGTTGGTTTCTTCGCCAACCCTTTCTTTTCCTTCCTTTATATTTCTTGCTTCTGCCTCCCCCCTCCTGTCTATTGTGTACCATGTAGAACTTTGTTAGTAACCCAGTTTGGGAAACACTGGCAGAATGTGTAAGAGTATCAGCTTAAATTGATATCAGAGTCAGTTTAAGCTGATACTTACAGTTTTAGTCCTGTAAAGGTTAAAATAGTTATCAGACAATAGAATCTGATATCAGAATAGGCCAAGGGGGTACAGGAGTCATTTAGTGAAAAGGAACCATATCCATTTCTCAGGGTAATTAGCAATCTATTCTTAGGAAGCTTCCCCACAAAGGAACTATATTGACCAGAGAACTAGAACTTATATGCAGATGTTATTTTGGCTGGAAAAATACTGACTACAGAGGAGCACCTTGAGGATGAGTTTAAGTAGAATAAGATGGAGAATACTTAGATGGTCTTGCATGCAGTGTTCTGTGAGAATGATCTAAAAAACTGGCAGAGGGAGAGATTAGTAAAAAGAAATTAAAGAGCATTCAGTAGGAAACATGCCTAAATGGAGTCTCCAAATGAAAACTGCAAATCTAATTTGTGAACTTGATTGAATGAGTGTAACATAAACCAAAAAAAATAGTGTCTGCTTGGCTTCCTAATACTTTCTCATATGAACCTCATTCTGCAAATTGACTGCTTTAAAAACCCACCAGCAAACAAAATAGGTTTAACAGAATATCCATGAGAGAGATAGGAAACTTGTTTAGAAAAATGAGTGGTGTTTGAGGAGACCACAGACAAGCATGACAACAAACTGCATTTTAAAAACTGACCTTAAGAGAATACTTAATATTGCATAGGTAATAACAGCTGGGGTAAGCAGACCATGCAGCAATGACTGCAGCAGCCAGGGACTATTTTTGAGTTACCAGCACAGGCAAGACTTCTGTGAGCATATGTGGTTCCCCTCCTCCCCACCCACCCTTTGGCACCCACACCCCTCCAGTACTCTCCCTGCTCCTCTCTGCTCAGCTGTCCTGCAGGATTTGCCCAGGACACCAACCCTCCTTATCACACCTGTGAGTGTAGATACCTTGCACCGTTGAAACCTTCATGTGCTGGATATATGACATTTTCAAGGTTATGGGAAAATGTGCGCTACAGGCACTCAGAGCTTTCTGCAGTGAAAGACAATCTGCTCATTAGATCTCATTGAATAGGACAAGACTCCTGAAAGCTCTTCCTCAGTGCCCACCCCTGAGATATGCATATCAAATATACAAGTGAAATTAGCACATGTGTATACGGACCTTTGTTCTAAATGTTGTAGATTGTTCATAATGCCACTGTTGTTCAATGAAAATTGCTGTGCATGGCTGAAATATGCATATTTTTCAGAAGTTTTGTAATTTTGCCAAACCTCAACCAGTTTTCACTAGAGCACTTGGTTATCTGTGAAAAGGGGCTATTGACGTGCTAAACTTCAGCTTTCTACCCACAATCATTTCATCTGCAGAGTTCTTATCCAAGCTTGCAAGCTTTTGCATTATATAATTTTGTTTTTTTTCCCCCTTGTACTCAATAACACTTCAAATGTTTTCTCAAACTTGAGTGAGACATTAGATGGGGAAATTTTCTTCACAATCAGCAAAACTTTGGGAAATGCAGATGCAGTAGAAAATAATGGGTTATAATAGAAAAGCGTAAGCAACCATGAGTCGGTAGCAGTCTAGCTATAATAGGAAATTACTCTCAGATGAGGACCGAGCTGTCACGGTTCAGAACTAGCTGCTGCGCCTTTGACTCAAGTGCACCCCTCCAGGTGACAGGACATTTACGTCACTTTAGGTGAAGTCCTGAAATGTTATCATTCTGGCTGGGTTTGGGATATAGCCCCTATTTACCAGCTGTGGTTTCTCAGCAAACCTAACCAGGTTACAGTCCTACATGTTTTCCTTTTGGGACCTGTGGCCAGTATGCAACTACAGTATGGTAAAACTCCTTTTCCATACAAAGTATTGAATCTCCCTGGCAGCAAGTATACATAAAACAAAGAGTCAAAGATAATTAAGAGAAAAATCTGAGTACATTTCTTTCCTAAAGCTTAGTGAGGCCTGTTTTGAGAACTGGGGTTCATTCTGCTTCCCCAAAGTTCTTTGTTTCTCCCCCTGTTGTTAGAGGCAGTTCTTTCATCTGTTTTGTTTCCCTCTGGCTCTTCAAACCAAACTGGATTATTATATACCCCAGGGGTGTCAAAATCATTTGGCCCACAGGGTGGGATGAGTATTACAGGGCTGGTCCATGGGGCTGTGTTATCTGGCCTGCGGCTCTATTGGTGGGGCCGGAAATGTGGTGGTGAGCCAGAGGCAACAACACTAATCACTGCAGCTCTAGAAGCCTTGGTAGATGCTGCTCATCCCATCACCAAACTTCTGTTCTGGCAGCAGATGCTTGCTCTAGATCCAGCCCATGGGACTGCCTGGGGGTCAGAAATTTGAAGGTGAATGACAGCGGCTGCTTTAATTCCAAGAGCCACAGCAATTAATGCTACTGCCACTTGCCCCACCACCAAATATCTGGCCCTGCGGACCGCCCCATCGACTAGATAACATGGCTCTGTGGGGCAGATCTTTGACATCACTAATATAGCCCATGGAAGGGAGAGCAAAAGGGTCAGTGATAGACTTCCAAGCAGTTGATTCTCTGCGTCTGTCCTACCTGTTCCCTCTCTTGTTGGCATGTAGACTAACCCATTCGTGAATGAACCAACAATAATCATATAGTAAAGAATTATAAGAGACAGGCACATGTAATATATAATATTCGTCCTATTCATTACAGGCATTTCCACGTTTCCTTCACACCAGTAATACACTTTTCAACCAAAAGTTTCTCTTTCCCTTTGTATGCCATACTGAATCAGGAAAAATTGGTCCATCCTAGCCTGGAATCTTGTTTCCAGTGCTCTGTTACAGTTGATATCAAAGACCGTATGTCTTTATTAGTGGTGCAGCCACTTCATTCCCAGGCTCTTTCAGGGCTTTTGTCAATACCCTACAGCTCTGGTGATTTGTTGCTCAATTTATCAGTTTGTTCCAGCACAAGCATGTCTGGCAAAATTTAGTCAGCCCAGCCAGGTGTTTCAAGTAAAACTGGCCCCTGTGGGGCCAAATGCAAGTACCTAGCAAAAATCTTCCTGCTGCCAGAATTTCAAAAAAATAATGAGGTCTCCTGTACTCAACATTTCAAACAGATGGGTCAGCTTTCCTCAGGGTAGGGCTACATGAACAAGTTAACACAAGGTAAGCTGAGGGAAGGGGAGTTTACAATACATTAGCTATTCTGCTTTAACTTCCCAAGTGTGTGCTTAACCTAGCATGTGCCATAGGGTAAGGTTACCCTGTTGTCATTGAGGGGCAGCCTGTCCTATACTGCCTGCAGGATAAGTGGATGCCCATAGGCAGTTAACATGGAAAGCTAGCTCCCTGTAACTTCCTACTCTAGCTTATATTGTGGCAATTTATTTGGGTAGCCATTCCTTTAGTCTTTAGAGGGGAGAAAATAGGACTGGTTTCTTCAATAAAGGCTTTATTTATCCTATTCTTCGTTCTCTGTGTGCAGTCCACTCTTGCGAAGAGTGTAATTCCAAAACCTTATATTAAATTTACTTCTCTGATATGACAAGCATACCCAGCTGAATCCCTCTCTCTGCCAAACTCTAGAGAGAATTTATCTATGTCGTCACGGAGAGGGTTGTAATCTGTGTGCTTTTAAAGTAGAGTCATACTTCCAAAATATGCCACAGAATGCTGACTATGGCTAATAATTGTTAAAATGTTCCGTGCTGAGCCTGAAAAATGCTTTTGTACTCTCTGTCTTGGGTATAATGATCTAGTTAGCAACCTCTGTCTGACTTTGTGTGGAAAGTACTAAATAGTACTGCTGGCCAATGGATCTTGGTCCTCTGTTATGGGGAAGCCAGTTTCCAGGTTCAAGGCTACTTTGAAGTCACATGGGTTGGTTTTTTTGTTGTTGTTGCTTGGTGCCTTTTCTGGCACTGCTGCATGCACACCTGCATATGATCAGTGTGCTGTACATGGATCCTTTTGTATGCTTGCAATTCCTGATTGCTTATTTCTTTTATCATAAATTTGCACTCCTCGGTAAGGTAGTTCTCTAGAAGAACTTTGTGGTAGAGTCTGGTTGGCTGGTCCCTGTCTGAAAGATAGTTCTAGGTCAACGAAAAACTAGGCTCATCAAGACTGGGAATTAGAAGAATTGCAGCAGAACTAACTAATTAAAACTGTGTATGTCCTTTTATGTAGATGTCTGTCGAGGGGGTACAGGATCAGCAAGCAGAAGCTGCAAAAGGGCGGTGCCTTCGACGTACAGTAAGTGTCCCTTCCGAGGGTCAGTTTCCTGAATATCCACCAGAGGGAGCTACTAAGCTCGGTAAGCTTTTTCCATCTTTTTTATTTTTAAAAAGAGTGCACTAATTTATAGATGTATTGGTCCATGTTAAAAAAAAAAATCACTTCCTATCTAGCATTACTGTAGTCAGCTTACTCGAATCAATAGCATTTCAGCTAAATATTGGTGGAGGTCATAAGGCAGTGGCACTGTTTATAATTGTATGACAAGAAAGTGACTTCAGAGTGGTTAGATTTATCTGAACATCAGTAAGGCTATTGTTCAGTACTAGTAGGGGTGGTGTTGCTGCAAAATGCTGAGGTTTGTAACTGCATTTGTGAGGTTACTAAACAGTGCTGGGATTTATAACCATGAATCCATGGTCAATAGGGCTGCATGTTTTACAGAGAGTTTTAAGTGATTCATGCTGTTCATTAGAGCTGTTGCTTGGTTTTGTTTTATCTTGGTTAAGCCTCTTTAAAGTTCCTTGGCTTTGTATTTTAAACTGATTGGAGAGTATCACAACTGTTTGCTCTGGTTGCAGCTTCCACTCCAGTGAGCTATACAGCCAAGAGCTCTGTCATTGTTAACTACAGTCATACAGATTTGAATGTGAATCTCAGGAAAAAGAGCAAAGGGTGCAAGTGAAAACTGAAAAAAGTGGTACAGATGTGATTTCCTCAATGTTAGCTTTTGTCCTCTTTCCCAGGATTTTTCTCCCTTCTAAAGCAGCCAAAGGAGACGGGAAGGAAGAGAGATGCTCTGACCCTTCCCAGCAGTGCTAGTGATTGCTGCCTCCCTTCCAAGGCATCAATAGCAATATAGTCTTTGCATTGACTACTTGTGAAAGAGCGTGGCTTGGCAGTCAGATATGGCAGTCAGAAATTGTGCTTTGGCCCAGTCAAGAAATACTGAGCCTAGGAAAGAGTGGGCAACAAGAAAAAGGCTGCAGTATATCTTTAAACAGCAAAAGTAAGGACACTATTTTAATTTGATAAATGTGACTGTCTTTTCCCAGAATATTTTAGTCTGTGATTACATGCATAAAGGGACTATAGCATGGGCTCCAGTGCAACTACACACAGAAAATTCTTGTAGATGGCTACAAGATGGCTAATTAGCAGCTTGCAATTATAATAGTTTGTTAGGCTATATTTGTGAAGAACTATCACAGGTTTTAATGTTGGAAAGAGATTTCTGATCTCTTCCATTTTGAAGTTTGGAGACTCTAGTAGGGTAGATGATAGAATTCATAGGAATAAACTATATGTATTAGTTGGATTAACAAACGGATTTTTTTTCAAATGGTCATTAAAATCATTGCTTTGTTTTGCATTCAAAAAAGTGAACTACATACACTAAACATTGAAAGAAAGTTATAGTCAACCATTAAAATCACAGAAAGTGTGGAGGTGCCAAAGTGAGTATGACTGACTGCCTTTTTGTGAACGTGTTACAATAGAAATAAGCTTGGTGGGATTCGGTTTGTATTGGTAAACATAGATAAACATCAGTTTCACCCATCTCTCACAGATCAGTGGAAAAATATTTCCATCGGTAATCATCAACATTTATAGAAAGATGTTAAAAAAACCAAACCCCCAAAACCTGGGTCAGGAGTAAGGAAGTCTCTGACAGGGGCTGATGTGCGCACACATGCATGGCAGCTACTGCAGGCAGGGTTGGGGGGAGCCCTGGCTGTACTGCCTGCATACTGCTCCTCTGATGGCAGCTTGGGTACCTGCTGCAGGAGCTGGAGGTTGTGCTGGTAGGTCTGTGCTGGGAGAGGGGGTGGGAGGGGCAGAGCTCTTGGCAGCCAGGAGCCTGGTGTTGCTGGCCACTTGCTCTGCCCAGGTCCCAGCTGGAGCCTGGTGAGTCCAGGCCAGCCCCTGCATGATTGAGATTGGCCCTTACCCTGATTATGTAGGGGCTGGACTGGGCTGGGTTTGGCAGGAGTTCAGTCCATGCCCCAATCGCACAGGGGTCAGGCTGGGCAGGAGCTCTGGAAACATGGGAAGAGGCAGCAGCCGCCCTGCCCAGGGTGGGAAGCAGCTCCTTGTACCCCATGGCCCTTTAAGGTGCAAGCCCCTGTGCTTGCCCACAGGGCAAGGAGGCTATAGCTGTCAAGGAACCAGGTTGACCCTCTGCTGGTGCCCACCAGGAAGGGCTCACCCCTTAAAGAGCTTCAGGGAGCTGCTTCCCGCCTTAGGCTGGGCGGCGGCTGCTTCCCCCTGTGTTCCCAGAGCTCCAGAGTGCCGCTGCCCTCCTCTTGCGGTCCCTGTCCACCCAGCTCTTTCCTGGTGAATTAACAGAATATTTTAAAGAGGGTACGCTTTATTGATTTATGGATATTTACTTTTATATATTTTAATGTGATTTTTTTTAATAAAGCTTTTAACAGTATACTGACATACTAAATTGTCTGCCCCCACACCTGTAATTCTGTGCAATCTTGAAAATTCAAATCAATAAAAAATCTATAAATGCTTAAAAATAAACATAGTTTTTAGTCATTGTAAAATAAATAAAGAAATAAAAATTGAATTCTGCCAAGCATAAATATAAAATGATTTACTCACATGCAACTCTTGTATTGTATATAGTGTTTACTACAATCTTATATGCATGTGTAACATCTTTTAAAGCATTTATTACTTCGCCTTACTAGCACGTGTAGAGACACCCATAGAGTATACAGCTACTGTGAAGAATTTGATGGCCCCCACCTTCCTTTGTATCCAAGAAGATGTGAGTACATAGAGTGGGAGGGAAGTGGAAAAAATTCAAAGAAAGAGAGGGGGAAATGATAAAGTGAGAAAACTACAATCTTTGATAGCTCCATAGTACAGACGAGTTCATCTGAACTAAAGATGTGGTGTGTCAGTGATCACAAATTGCCACTGATTGAAAAAGGTTGGAATAGGATGATACAGAGAGAAGAAGAGTATTTTTATGGACAAGACATTGAGCCGGAGGGCAAACCAACGAAGGAAAGAATTCTTTACAATCATGTAAAGAAAAAGAGAAGCAGATGGCAGCAGGCAGAACATATCACCAGCAGCACAGATAACAGCTGGACCAAAATAGCTTTGGAATGGACACCAAAAGCTGAAAAGCACAACAGGGGAAGATAAAATATTCAGCAGAGAAATTGGTATGCAAAACTGATAAGAATATCTAACATGTCCTAGTATTAGTGTATGCTTAACAAAGCAACAACAGGCATTATGGTTTATCATGATGTCTGAAGTTATTATTTAACAATGAGGTTTTTTTGGCTAGTTCTGTTATAAAAGTTAATGAATGGCAATAGTATTAGTTTTGGTTCTCCCTCTCCCTCTCGTGGAGCTGCCAATGCTGGGGCTGCCAGGAAATGGAGTCTGGCTGCCTGATTCTGATCCCAGCACATGGGGGCAGTGCTGGACCCCAGAGCCAGACCCCAGCTTGTGGGGAGCTGGGAGGAGTTGGTGCTGGGTTCTAGGGCCCACCATACTATGCAGGGCCAGGAGGGATCAGTGCCAAGCCCCCAGGGAATCCTGGTGCACGGAGGTGGGAGAGGGTGGTGCCAGGCCCTATGGCAGGGATGGATAAAATGTGGCCCGGGGGCCGGATGCAGCCCACCAGGCCATTCTATCTGGCCCGTGGGGCCCCTAAAAAATTTAGAAAATTAATATTAATCTGCCTTGGGCTGCCTGTCATGCAACCCTTGATGGCTTGCCAAAACTCAGTAAGCTGCCCTCTGCCTAAAATAATTGCCCGCCCCTGCCCTACAGCCTTCTCTTGGGGCAGGGCTAAACCCAGCCAATGGACTGTCCCTGCCCCACTCATCTGGCTTGTGAAGCCAGAAGGTTGAGCACCACTGGTTTAGATGCGTTGTTTTGTGGGTATCTTTGAAGATTTGATAAGGATTTTTCCTCCGTCCCAAGATCTTTTGAACTGCATTACAAGGTGTAGGAACCAAAGAGGCAGAATTCTCCCTTGATTACGGCTTCAGTTATCAGGAAAGAATTACCATACCAGGGAGAACGTATAATTAGTAACAACACAGTCTGTCTCTAAAATCTAATTGGAAGGAAGGTAAAACAAAGTTGATTCCCAAGATACCCTGATGCTTAGAAAAGCTATAATTGATGCAAAAGAGGAAAATGCATTTAGAGGTTCAGTGCTTTGGAAAAGAGAGGTAGGGAGCTGTGTTTAAAGGAACTAAACATTATTTGACCTGTTGATGCAATTAACCTTATTTTTCCTTAGCTTTTATATAAAAATTTGCTGTTTTTTTTCTAGCATTCATGATGTAGCAGTTCCTACTGGTAAGAAGCAGGGCAGGTGAGAATAGGTTCTGTGCCAACGATGAAGTGAATAAGGCCTCTGCACCTACTAAACAGGCTGTACTAGGGGGGCTGTAATAAAGGTGAGACCAGTTCCTTGTGGGGAGCAGGATTAAAATCCACACCATTGGCTGCATGCATTTCTGTCTGCCTTGCCACACAGACCTTACTTAGTTTTTGTCAGGCTCCTCAGCTTTTGCTATCCTAGAATGGAGTGGAATGGAGAAGCCTGCTACTAGTTTCAGATTAAAAAGTGGTTTTAGGGCATTTCACCTGTTGTTCTAAACAGGTGCCTGCATGTGATATCGTTATCTTAATACACCACTTTTCAGTTTCTATTTACATTTTTTTTAAATGGCAGGTGCCAGTCTGATCACCATTTGCCTTTCTAGCCATTGTAAATGAGACTGCTTCAAGGCTCTATTTAAAACAATTCTAGCAAATAAAAAGGATTCTGGTCTATTAAGTCTAAAACATGCCTAATTTAAAGCAACTTTGTCTCTTTAGTTACCCTAAAAGCTACTCAGCTGCGATAGTTTATGTGCTGATGTACACATTAAATATAGAGGAATGAGGAAGAATAAGCAAGTTTGTGGCGTTTCAAAAATTTGTGGTTGCAGAAACTGCAGTTTAATTAGTCATACGGGCACTGGAGAAGGATTTTTTGTTCCCCCTGATTAAAGCATCCATGAAATACTGGCTTAAGCTTGCATT